CGCTGTTCCAGAACCTGGGAAGCAGGGGCACACCGGTTTGGGTGGAAAGCTCTCCGTTTGGGAACTTGTTGGGTTTTAGGTGGGGTTGTTTTTTTTTTAAGTAGGGGGGAGTCAGGTGGAGAGCACACCAGCCCCGCAGCGTCTCCCCGGGGAGGGCAACAGCCCCCCAAAAAAAACCTTCTCCCCCCATTTAATACGGGAAAACGGCTCCGCTTCAGTTGCGGTGTTTTTCCCAAAATCCCAAAATGAGGAGATCCATTAGAAAGAACCCCTTTAACACAGGCTCTTGGTCAGGAACCGACCGAGCAGGCGCTGCAGCTCCTTGCGCATTCCCACCTGGGTTTTCAGCCCCAAAACCACAGCGAAACTTGGTGGAAAGCGAAACTTGGTGGGGAAAAAGCCAAAATCTTGCTTGCAGCAGGGTGGCTCCTCTTACCTTTCCCACCGCCCGGCATTTTCAGGTGCCGCGGCATCACAAAACTTACTTACGTGCTTTTTAAGCACTAAACCGGAGCGGACGGGTGCGCTAATGAGGGTGCGGTGCCCTTTTTTTGAGCAAAAAAGGGGCTGAGGGAGAACAGAGCTGATTTTTGGGGGGCAATTGACCCTCCGGCGAGGCTAAAAACGTACGAGAGAGTGAGGGAGCGGCCGTCCACCCACTGCCAGTCGCCTTCTTTGTGCGTGTCGGTCAGGCCCAGCCAGAACACACGAGTGTCCATGATTTGATTTGCCAAGAATTTCTGCAAATAGGGGGGGATAAAAAAAAAAAAAACAAAGAAGCGTCAGGAGGGCAAGTGGAAGGCAACAGCAAAGGGATGCTGGGATTAGGGATGACATCAGGTGTCCCCTTGCAGGGGACAGCTGTGACGTGCCACAAGTGTGACAAAAAAAAACGCAATAATAATAAGCTTTAATAATTTCTAAATAAATCCTGGAATTCCGACACGATCGCGAGGAGGGATCGCTGCGGAGGCATGGCACATCCACCCCAAACTCAGGTGAGCACCTCTTGCACCCCGGGAGTCCCTTAGAATCATCGAATCGTTGAGGTTGGAAAAGACCTTGAAGATCACCCAGTCCAACCAGTAACCTACACTACCAAGCCCACACTAAACCAGTCAAGGGTAGACCAGACTGAACCATGGCCCGAAGTGCCGCCTCTGCCCGTTTTTTGAACGCTTCCAGGGATGGGGACTCCCCCACCTCTCTGGGCAGCCTGGTCCACCGCTTGACCAACCTTTCA